TAAAAACACAAACTTAATGGTATTATCATGGATATATGAAAACTATAAAGATTCTAATTATATTTATATTGAATATAACAACTGTAATTAATCTGATCTTTTAAAAATATTGGAGTCGATGGTATTCCTTCTATATCGCTGTTTTCAGACATTTTGATAATATAGGTAGGTAATATGAAAACTGATTTTGACAAATAAAGCAATTAGTTACTTAGGTTAGAATCTAGGACAAACAAAGGAACAGGATTCTTGATTGAAAAATTATGGGTTTCTATTGGTTGATAATCTGTATCGTTATGAAAAATCTGTATCATAATGGATATCATTATGAAACGGATTATGGTCATATAAGTGTATTGTTAGAGTACGGGTGTAGAAAATAGTATTTTTTTATTATGCCGACTGTAATATTATAACATAAATCTACAGTTTCGAACTAATATCAGACAATATCATGAAATATTCCTTTGAGAGTTATGTTAGCTGAAATATCAACTTTTGATTTGTTGTTAAATAACAGTTGGAACGTTGTGGATCGAAATTTATAGTTGATCTCAACCGAAATGTTTTTATGTTATCACACAAAAGACACAACATAAATATCGTAGTAGTTTTTGTCGCAGTCGGTATCTCAATTTTCAAGCATAGTATTTCAACACACATCCGAAACTCGTATCCAGTCAAAATTAATGAATGGGACAATATATTAATCTCTGTTTAGACAGAAGTGTCGTGTAACGGCAATTAGTCGACGGGACGGATTGCGACCGATAACGGCTACAAGTCGAATGTAAAAATAACATTGAAGACCGATGCTAGCAACGGAAGCTCTGGAACAGAGGAATAGTTGACAAAATCATGGAAATGACAGTGGAATCAGAGTTCATTCCATTTTGAAGTAGACAGACACTAGGAATACAAATTAGATTCCCCAATAACACATTATTTGCGTCATATAACAATTCAAATATTGTGGTTTTGATAGTGCTACCTTATTTCTCATCTGGTCTTATTTACTTGGTCGATCCCAGAAAGTTGTTGATGGTCATCACTCCTTACCTCTTGATTTTCTATCAGGAGTACCACAGGGTTCCATTTTAGGACCTTTATTGTTCATTTATACTACTGACATTATCTCGCCCATCAAGAAATGTAAAATACAGGAGTATACTGATGACATACAATTATACATGCACTTTGAAATCGATGAGTATGCTGAGGCACAAAATTTCTTCAACACTGATCTTGATTTGATCAATGGACTATCAAGTGAACATGATTTGAAAGTTAATCCTAATAAAACAATGATGATGCATTTTGGATCGCAGAAGAATCTTAAATTTGCAGAAAACAATTTCCATTTAGAACTAGGTCATACTATTTTGACTCCTGTCAATACAGATGAAAACTTAGGGGTGATGCTTCACACTGATCTTAGATTCACTAGTCACGTTAAAAATTTAATGAAAAAAGCTTATATGTCATTGAAACTGTTATACTGTAATCGTTTTATTTTGAGCCAACCTCTAAAAAGAATGCTCTGTGATAGTTTGGTGCTAAGCCATTTCAACTACTGTGACTTCATATATGGGCCATACTTATATGATTCAGATAAAAAAAGAATNGGTTTTCCTGTATATCCCCAGAACCAAAAGAGCTATATTCGATTTCTTCACATCATTGAATAGGTCTCTAAAATACACAACTTTGTCACCCTTTAACCGACATTCTATCTCTTATCGTTTACGAGATCCCCAGGTACAGAATCGAATTTGAATAGCCCTGTATATGAAGGGCAGTGGTTACATTGAAAATGTGCATATAATAAAGTTCCTAAGTACAAGAAATAAACAAGGAACCTACAAATGATAATCTTGGCCATAGAGGTTAATGTTGATTATTCACTTATCTTAAGGTTATTACCCGTGCTTTCTCGATTAGGTGAGATGATTTCATTACTATCATAGAAAGGGATACTTATTAACGCAAAATTCTACAATGTATAAAGTGTTAGAATGTATAATGTGTATGTATATCTAAAGAAATGAACTTTGAAGGTTCAAGCCAGTCTCAGATATACCTACACAGTAGGTTGAATGTACTGACGCCTATCAGAAAACAACTACTCCCCTGGCTAATACAACGAAAGGCGTTGGATTATATCCGACAGGCGTCAGTGCAGGAATCTTCACAGAAAATTTCATGCATATGCAATTGGCAATACAACTGAAAGAGTCGACTTTCAATTTTGGAACGGGCACACTTGCAGACCGGTTTCGGGCACATTAGCCACTCGTCAGTGCAACATAGTGGCCATAATCGACCTAAAGTCAATGATATTCCATAATTGAAAATCGGAATTCTTTCAGAGTATTTCATTCCTCTTCCTCACTTGGAGCGAAACCACAAAATGTCACTCCATCTAGTGGCCAAAGTACTAAGCAACTGCATATCCGAAATTTGCCCGATTCCTCTTAATAAGGACAAAAAACTTTCTTATTAGTCAGTGGGCTATGCTTGAAGACTGGCAGTAAACAAATCTGAAGAAACTATAACTTTGAACGTTTAAGCCAGTCTCATTTATACCTTGTTTCGTCCTATATGGACATTCTCAAACTTATACAATAAACTTATTTATTGGTCGTGTACCGAAATCAACAGTTTTAGACGCTTTTCCTTTATCCAAGGCGTGTTATACTAGATTTTTCTGGTCTTCGAAATCGGATATGTGCTATGTGTTCTTTGAATCGAGTTTCAATAGCTCGCTCAGTCTGGCCGATATATTTTTTATCACAGCCCTCACAGCTAATTTCATGTAACCCCGAAGTTGATTTGTTGGAGTGGATAAGAAGTTTTGAAAACTGAAAAGTTATCAATTAACATATATTGAAAATCTATAAAAATACACTCTTATCCTAGCTACAATACAAATACATTTATTAAACCTATGAATTTTCGAAATGTCTTCCGAAATTCTGTAACTGCAACATAGGCGAAACGTCAGGAGGTGTTTCATGTAGGGAATAATCGACGTAACTTCTAACACATGGTCGCGGCTGAGGGAGGGGCATCTGGGGTGGCACTGAAGTACTGGAGGGTACTGATGGAAGCATATTTGGCAACANGGTGGGAATTTAGGTAGCTTCACTCTTATTTTTTTGGTCTAATTTGACCGGACTAATATTTAGATTTTTTATCAAAAACTTTGATTAGCAAGGTGCAGTAGTACTTTTTGTCTTATAATACTTTGATTCATTTTTCATGATAAAATACCAATTTTTTTTTCAATCTTCAACATAGAAAAGAAACCATCTTCATTTGAAATTATGTTTCGTCGAAATTGTTAAAGATTGACCTACCACAGCCTGTCTCCTAAAAATATCGGCCTCGGCGTCAAGATCCCCATGGAATTATAATATTGTTGAGCCAAAACTTCAATGTCGTTTGTGTATTTCCTCTTCCATTTCGTCCTTCTGTTTTGAAACCATATTTTGATCTGCAAAAAATATACAAATAGATTATTGACTACTGCTGTTTAGCATGTTTAGTTAGTCGATGAGAGGCATAAACGTTGGAATTTTTCACAAAAAATCATGAAAAAGGAATTATAATGTTTAGAGAAAGATTTTGTCAGAAACAACTCAAATCTCACCTACAATTAGGTACTTGCTTTGAGTCTCGAAGAAGGTGAAAATTCATGCCGAAACGTAGGCGTTGAAATTCCTTGTGGAGGTACAAAGACAGTTAAAGGGAAATCTTTGTACGAAAATATCATACATGGAACTTAGCAAATTTTAACTCGTGGGTGGAGTTTGCCTGCCCCGCAATGTGTCCTTGGTTGATGGATGCAACGTTAAAAGTTTACTTGAGTCGTTAGGCTACATAAACCAAAATTTAATGTACGAAATTGATAAAATTCTCAGTGACAGTGGACATGCCACCTTATCTTCCGGATTTGAATCCAATAGAACATGTTTGAGCCTTTTTGAAGCAATATGTTACTCAGTGGTTCAGTCAAGCAGCACTGATGAGAGCTTCAGCGGGTCGAAACAGCGCTGCCTGGTGTTGAATAACAAATGCGTTGTGTTTTTGTACTGTGAAATATCAAAATTGAAACTACTTACTTGCGTCTCTGTGAGTTTCAAAGTTTTTGACAGCTGACATCTTTTTGCCACCGACAGGTACTTGTTCCTTTCGAATTCCGCCTCCAAGGATTTTATCTGAGCTGCCGTGAACGCTGTTCTTGGTCTTTTCTTTCTGTCATCGTCCGATTTACTGTCCGAATATGAATAATCTGGGGCAAACAAAAGTATACGTAAGTAGACGAACTGTTTTGATTTGCTTTTGTCAGCAACCCCTTCCCAAAACAACTGTGAAAAATTACAAATGGTAATAATACTGAAAGGTCTTTCAATTCTGGATCCATCACATATTTCGAGTGCAATATTGTCCTGAATTTCATTACTTGAGATATGTTTCAAAAGTAACCACCTCTTTAAACGCTACTAGACTACCCATACAGTAACGTATTATGGAGTTAGCCAAGGCATCATACACTATAAGTATCATTTCCCTGTTTATTATGTTCCTGAGCTGATAAAATTTATATATTAATTTACGTAGTCTAGTTACTGTATAGTATAGTCTGCTTTGCCGACTAGTCGGCCCATATCTAGTAATTACAATTGATCAACATTTACTAGTGGATTATTTTGGCTAGTTTCATGAATTATCATACATCCAAGCCATTAGCTTAGCAAAATTTCAAAACTTATGGACTTGCACATCGGTTTTTGTTGGACTCTGGATATACCTATTGGAGTTTTATTGATATTGCCCTCTCTGGTATGTGAAGAATTGATGAACTCTCTTTTTGAAGTTGATAATTGTCTTATTCACATCCCAAATTTTTTTTTATATTCAACAGAGCTTCTTGTGAATTTTCTTTCATGTTTACAGAATATTCGTAAAACGTTCAAGACCAATTAAACCGCCGTATATACGCAACGGCCATAAATCCATTTGAAGTCCCACTAGATTAAATTTACTACTAAAGAATTCTCATATGTCGTTTATAACTGAAATTAATGTCACTTACACGCCTCTAATCGTTTGAGGCGAAACTGGCCTCTAAATAACGCCGGAATTGAGTTGAGCAGTCACTTGGCCCGATAATATATCGCAGCAAGATAGCGGCGTTTGTTTTTTGTATCATTTTTCAACGCTTTCCAGATCGTTAGCTGTTTAAAATCTAATTTCGTCTCTGCCAGCGCAAATTAGCCTCTCTCTTAACGTGTCTGCACTTCCCACCAGCTATTAGAAACATAAATTTCGCCACGGCAAATTAAAAACAACTGTTTGGTGTAAAATTTGAGGCCTCTGCCCTGTTTATGAAGACCTCACTTGTCTCCCTTTTAATAAACTATATCCGGCTCCCAATTACCACTGTGAAATATTGAGGAGATTCATTTCTTTAATTGCCATTTTATATCTTGAAGAGACCGCAATATTTAGACAAATGGGTTGAGCAAAAGTGAGCCTACCAAACGAAATCTTTAACTTTTCACTACATTCAGCTAAAGCTGTGTGGAATTTTTTATGCTACATTCACCATTTCTTAAGAAAAATTGGGTACCTTCAAGAGAACCGCAGGGTTCGCATTTGGTACCACTCTTTTCTGAAATCTATCATCTGAAAGTAAATTCAGGATATTGCCACATATCACTATTAGTTGGGCTAAAAAGTTCGTACGATAACGCACAGGATACTAGGATTAAATCCATATCATTCTTAGTTAACCTTAACCTTCAAGAGACACAGTACAAATTTCACAGCTGTCGGATTTTTAGTTTGTAGGATAAAATATTTTGAGTGAAGCAACTTTTGTTACTTTGAAGAAAATGGATAAACAAGAGTTTTGTGTGCTGATGAAGTATTGCTTCTTGTCAAAAAAAAGATGTTACCGTAACCAGGTGAGGTCACGGTGTTAGTATTTTGGGTATAATATTCATCTACTATCTTGAAAAGGAAGTAAACCATCAACAGCGCGGAAAACGGCCGCTTCCATGTTCTTATGATACTCAACATTGCAATCCTCAAGTTCTTCACCACATAATTTCAAAGAACTCGGAACCCAACCCTTACTTCCTCCGCAATGCACAATGATTATTCGCGATCCTTTGTTTGTAGGCATGTTAGGCGTACACATTCTCGTACCATCAGTCCACCCTTTCGTAACTGTGTCGTGAGTGTCATACCAAGTTTCGTCCAAAAAGAAAATTTGCCGTTGTTTTTGTCAATATTTAGTTTCATTATTTTTTGTTGAAATGTAAATGTAATGTAAAAGTAATCAAACACTTAATTCACAACATAGTCTCATCACGAACAAGCTATAGATTAGATTTCTTCGGCTTCTGTGATTATCTGGTTTAATTTCGATAGCACTCCATGTAATTTATATCAGTGTATGAGAAAATAAACACATCATTATTATTATTATCAATTGTAACTGCACCAAAATCGAATTTCAACACTCAAATCGCGATCAGTTCCTAAACTGAACACGACGGCGATAACCATCCCCGCATTCCCCGATTGCTATTCGTCACCGTAACATGACATTAAATTTAATTTTATGACTCTTCAGCCAATCATAAAACTTGGTTAGTAAAAATTATCTTATACGAACCGCCATGTCTACAGTCCACGTGGACTAATTCGCTGCCGGATGTTTTTTTGGCCTTTAAGAGTGCCGCCAACTTTAAGAGTGCACAATATCGTTCACTTCGTTTTTGTAAAACAATTTAGTGAAAATCTCACAATAAAGTGTTTTTGGAATACGATCGTTCACTTCGACTATGCGGAACAATGTTTTTACCTACCAACACCAAAAACCAATATGTTATTCGAATTTCCCTTATTTGCAACGTGTTATAAATTTAATTAAGTGTGTCGGAAAGTAGAGATTTATTTAATACCTACCTATGAGATAAAAAACAAATATAGCTTATATGTCATTGAAACTGTTATACTGTAATCGTTTTATTTTGAGCCAACCTCTAAAAAGAATGTTCTGTGATAGTTTGGTGCTAAGCCACTCCAACTACTGTGACTTCATATATGGGCTATACTTATATGACTCAAATAAAAAAAGAATACAAAAAGTGCAAAAATTCTTGTTGCCGCCTAATTTGAGCCAACCTCTAAAAAGAATGCTCTGTGATAGTTTGGTGCTAAGCCATTTCAACTACTGTGACTTCATATATGGGCCATACTTATATGACTCAAATAAAAAAAGAATACAAAAAGTGCAAAAATTCTTGTTGCCGCCTAATTTATGGACTTCGTAAGTATGATTCAATTTCTGAAGTCTTCAAAAACTCTCGCTGGCTCAATATGAAAAACCGTATGAATCACAAATTATCATTTTTATTTATGTTTCCTTTTTCGTGGTACCAACAATTGTCTTTTCATTTCTGTATGTTCGTCTGCATCATGGAGTGGTGCTTGTTAGAGTAGCTCATAGTTTGGAAGCTGAAAATTATTTGAGTTGAAGAGGAGCCACCCTGTATGAACTTCTATACAATCTGTTACCTATAGGTTTCACAGGTGTTTTTGTAAAGTATACTTTAAAAAAATCTAGTTAAGTTTGAGTTCAATATTCTCTTCATTTTGTATTCGTCTCATTCTACAATAACGATTACCTACCAAGTGAAGTTAGAATTGGTGTTTCTGTTTTTGTGTGTCAAGTTCATACTCAACGACCTAAAACACGGAATCGATGATAATTTGACTGATGATACATATTTGGATATATTGTAGAATCGAATAATACCGTGCATCAATAGGGCAATTGAGAAGGATTTAAATTTATTCGAAAACGGAATAGTTTTTCAGCAGGATGGTGCACCTCCTCATTATGCAGCTCCAGTGCGACAATTTTCGGATGATCATTTTTCTGGCCGGTGGATTGGCAGAAGTCCTACAGAATGGCCAACAAGGTCTCCGGATCTCACTCTTGTAGATTGATTTCTATGGGGTCATTTGAAGTCTAAAGAGTATGAGATAGAATCAACAACATCAGAAGATTCGAGAGAGAATATCATGATGCATTGCAGAGAAATAACTCCCGAGATTCTCAACTATGTGAGGGTGGCAAGAGAAGCTCGCTGTACCATTGTATGGAAGATGGTAAAAACGTTTTTGAACATTTACAATAGAAATGTTTCTTCTTCTCATTGTCCAGTCATCAGATCTTGATTCAAGAATTAATAAAAAATCTCTTTTCCTGATTTATTTTTCCCACATTTGTCTCTAGAACAAAATGTGACCTCCTGTATAATTGTTGACTTGTTTTCAAGCACTTGGATAACTTTCTCACCGTTAGAACCTTCGTCAATCAGGTTTAAAAAATCTGTTTAAAATCTGTTTATCAGCTGTTAATCAGCTGTCACCTTCATACGAACGATAACTCTCAGAAGTTGAGAAACTTGTGCGAGCTAAGGACTAACGGTCTATGCAAAAACGGCTTTTATCGACTTTTTCGAATCCCGAGCACAAAAGTTTTATGCTGACGGAATCATTTGACTTCTATTCTTCAAGCGGCATTTTTGGTGGAGGACTGAATATTTTATACTGTTTTTGTGGGTTTATAACCTTCCAGAATCTAAAAAAATGAAAAAAGTTATTTAGGCGAAACCTCAAGAACCCTAGATGTAAGAGAAAATGAACATCGTGAATATATAAAAAGGAAGTTGATGGCAGGGTCGGGGTTAGCGTAACATATTTTGAAAACATCTGTTGGTGACGCCATAGAATGGAATGAAACAAAAATCATCACAAAAGAAACTCATGGAAAAATTAGAAAACTGAAATAATCGTATATTCTCTTAGCAACTAACAAGTGTATTTCGAATAGTTCTGTGGAAATTTATCGTACCTGGTTGCCATTACTGAGAAGGGAGCTTGAAAATATGAACCTCAACTGAAATGAATTATCAAAAAATATCCAGTATGTGTGTTTATGTAGACTTGTGTCAAAAGAAAGTAGTTTGAGGCGAGGTTTTCAATTTGTAGGTAAAATTCATGAATACGACACGTTTCTTTAAGAACAAAACACAAGCACTACATAAACGTTAAATGAAATTGGTCCCAGAGCTGTGCCTTGGGGGACTCCTATAACAGTTTCTTGTGTATCACTCAAAATGTCATCAATTTTTACACACTGAAGTCTATTGGCGAGAACAAGCTCAGATTATTGTTTTCAAGGACAAAACACAAGCACTACAGGAAAAT